CTAACAGATTGACCTTCTCATTGAGAATTTTGGGATAACTTGAGAGGTAGGTAATTGAAAAAAAAAAGAATCGGCTTTCCTAAAAATGCAACAGGACAAAAAAACTTAATTCGAGGAGGATATAATAATACACGAAGGTTTTTCAATAGAAAACGACCATCCAAAAATTCATAAATGAAGAAATTCGAACTTTTGAAAAATAAATGTCCTTTTAGTTTCTGTGACAAATAATAATGAATTCTACACTCGAAATTTTTATTTACCAGACCAGATTCAAAAATCACCAAACGCTTAGTTGTATCAAAATTTGATTAAATCATCAATAATTCTTTCTATGCCTCCTAGTCTTCATTTTCCTTGTTCGAAAGCATCCCATTAAAGATGGAGAATATTCCTAGAAATTTATACAAACAGCCCATGGATTAAGATTTATTTTAACAAATCGAATACCCCAAGTTTTTCATTCCAAAATAATGAAGAACACGCAATCTTAAGAATTATAAATAGGATAGGTGAAGTCAAAATCTTTATTTATTAACAATCAAAAAAAACAAACCATAACTCTTGTTGATATTTTACAATTGTAAAACGAATCCCGGAATCGCGATTTTTTAATTTTATTCTTTTAAATGGTAACAGTTGAAAAGTTGAAAAAATTGAAGAAGCAGAAAAAGCAGATGAAGTAAAGAGGATGAGTTGGAGGAAGAGGAATGGAGAAACAAACAAGTACGGAAATGCATTAGTTGAATTTAATAAAGAGAAATGTAGCGAAAAAATTATTCTCACTCGTTTATTTTTTTACCATTTGAATGATCATTTAGTGTACTTTTCCCATTATATTTACAGAAGATGTTGAAAAGAAATTTAATTTTACAATAACATTCCAAACCAAGTAGCTCAAAAGCACTGGTATACTTGTTCACAATCGGTTCTGCTGATTTTAATGGATGATAATTGTTTTGCCAAAAACGTAATACGTAATACGTATATAATAATAATTACGAAATTAATTACGGGCGACGAATTAATTACGCGTGACGAAATTATTCATTATGTAAAATCCATAAATTTTACAAGTACTAACATAAAATTTTAAATATTTTCAATTTTTGTTAAACCATAAAA